TAAATAGTGCTGCAATAAACATAGGAGTGCAGGTGTCCTTTGGGTAGATCCCCAGGAGTAGAATTGCTAGGTCATATGGCAACTCCATTTTTAGTAATTTGAGGAACATCTACATAGCTTTCCATAGTGGCTGGACCAGTTTGCATGCCTACCAGCAGTGTAAGAGGCTTCCTTTATCACCACATCCTCACCAGCATTTGTTGTTGCCAGGTTTTTTGGTTTTTTTTTTGATATGTGACATTCTCACTGGTGTGAGGTGGCATCTCATTGCGGTTTTGATTTGCATTTCCCTGATAAGTGATGATGAACATTTTTTCATATACCTGTTGGCCATTTGCATTTCCTCTTTGAAGAAGTGTCCTTTTAGCTCTCCTGCCCATCTTGTGACTGGATTGTTTGCTTTGTTTTTGTTCAGTTGTGTGAGCTCTTTGTAGATCTTTGAAATCGGTCCCTTGTCGGTTGTATGGGGTGCAAATATTTTCTCCCAATCAGTAGGGTGTCTGTTTTGGTTATTGTCTCTTTTGCTGTACAAGAGCTTTTTAGTTTGATGTAATTCCAGCTGTTTATCTTTTCTCAAGGCTTTATATGACCCTTTGTTTGGTTTCTCCTCATACCACACATACACATGACAGTAGCTACCATTTGTTTTTCTCCTTCTGACTTATTTTGCTTAGCATAATTTCTTCTAGCTCCATTCACATTGCCACAAATGGCATGAGTTTATCTTCTCAAAGAATCCACTTTTACTTTCATACTGTCTCATCTATTTCTGTGGTTCCCAGTATGATCAATTCTATCAATTTTGGCTTCATATTATTAGGACTCTCTTGTCGGGTGCATATAATTTCCTAACTGTTAAACTTTCCTGATATATTCTCTTATCATTATGAAGTATGTCTCTTAGGAATTTCTTTTCATAAGCCTATTTTGTATGATAGTAGTGCAAATTTCTTATTGTTTGCATGATATATTACTGTAAATATTGTGGTCTTATTAATCATATAATACATGATGCATTCTTATACCTCTTTTCATATTTCTTAAATTACTTTTGAATTGTTTAATTTGCAAGGCTTTTCATAAACTAAAAATTGTTTGATTTGTTTTATATCTTTGGTATAGTATGGAGTATATACAATATATACTTGATCCATTAACTCAATTTCACACCAAAACAAGCTCCCTTTGTAGAAAACTGTCCAGTTGTGTTATTTGCTCATAATGTAGTTGCCTGATAGTCTCACCTTTCAGGTTTTGAAAGCTAAGAATGACACTTGCCTGCCTTCCTGCCAGATCCAATTGTGGACTTAGGAATTGTATACAAAGGTTGTTATACAGCTCCTCTGTTTCTACAAAAGAAACACAATTTAGGAACACCTATTTAAGTAATATGGCTTAAGCCTAGGTATTATTGCCACCTTGCAAACCTTTGATAAATTAGAAAATTGTTTAGAAATTGCCTAAATCTTGAATATCATATAAAATTTTGATTAAGTTATAAGGCTATTTTTCAAGATAATGTAATAACAGCATCATCTTCATGCTAAATGACTTCTTCTGGCTTGAGTCTTTGGTATTTTTAAATCCTGCTGCAGTGCAAGGATGCTGACTGCCTTATATGTTAATGTTTAAGGTATGCAGTTATTATCCGAGTTATCTGTCAATTTAAATGGGAGTTGATATGCTGACTTCAATAAGAACTTTAAAATTTTTCCATCTGCTCACTGAATTTTGCAGGACAAGAGACCATAAAAAGGTCTTTTCCTGTCCTTTTAAGTCTATGAAATTTTTCACAGATAAAATATCAAATTGAATATAATTACCTAATTGAATATAATCATGACAATTTTATGAGATTACTGTGTTGAAATTTCTAGATTGGTGGCTCCCTTAAAATCACCTCTGCATTTGATATACTAAGCTAAGGACAAGAAAAATGATGCAATTATGGAATGGTATAAGGGGTGCTCGAGAGTGAAGATTGGATTACTATTAATTGAACTGATGCATATGCTCAAGGATTAGAAGGCCAGATGGGGATTCCTTTTTGGAGAATTTCCATTTTCTTTACTAAGAAATACTTGTAAGACTTTTCTAAGCATTTGACTCCCCAACTAACCCCTTCAGTCGACTTTCTAAGGCAAGCTTTCTGATCAGCACTGTTCTTAGAAGGGATAAATAAGGCTCCAAGTACACACACTTGCAATTTGCTAAGAATCTTCTTTGTTACTTCAAAGTCTATTATATACTCTGTATCTGGGCCAAATTTCCAACTCCTCAATAAACATTCCCACAAGAGTTCTTGCAACAACACATTGTAACAAAAGAGAATCAAAACTCTTCCAATGTAGGCAGTTTGTGTGTAAATAGACTAGCAAAACACAGTTGCTGCAACTTTCAATAAATATAGAACTGCATTTGATGCCTCCTTGGAAAAGTCCTAGCTTCACCCTAGGTATTAGAAAATTTCAGGCCAAATAGTAAAATAGTTTCCTGAAAGTGTACGAAATAAAAACAGCATTTAACTTACCCTGACTCCTATACCAGCCCAGAACCTGTTCCAGGGTAGAAGTAGAATCTATCATGAAAGCTGCACCAAGCAATACATTCATGGAAATACTTAACACTGAACGCCCTTGAAGGGGCAAACCGAGCAAGAAATGCAGTAACAGCCCTCAGCTTGGGGGCTGGGGGGCCAGTATCCTTGTGACCTCTTACTGCTAGCCTACCTAACCCTGTGGGTTCCACATGGAGAGGGGCAGGTCTGCTGTCTGAAAGTAGCTGTTACAGGTGGGGCTGCTGTCTGTCCCACCATCCACTTAACAGGCAGCATCTGACTCCCCGCGCAGCAGCAGCATCATCATCAGCAGCAGCAAGAACAGGTGCAGAGCTCGGGCCCAGACGGGCATCTTCTGAGGCACGATGCGGCCCCTGGGCCATGTCTGTCTCAAGTCCGCTCCCGCAAAGGCCGGCAGGCCCCTGGGCTGCTCCATTCCGGGCAGGCGATCAGTATTCATAGCCGGAAGGGCTGTTATCTAGGTTTCACCCTGAGCTGAGAAGAGGAATCGAGGCCAGAGGCTCACCCCGCGGCGTCCCCAGCGCCTCCTCGCAGTCGCCGGCACCGCACAGGCCCGGGACGCCAGCGGGGAGCAGAGCGCGGCCCGCAAAGCGGAGCTTGCGCCGCGGCCGGCCCGCCTCCCGGCCCTCCCTGCCCCCAGGCCGCCCCGGCTCTCCAGGCCCCGCCCCATGGCCCCGCCCCTGCCCCGCCCACATCCTGGCCCCGCCCCCGCGCGGGGACCTGCGGCGCCCGGCATCCGAGGCCCTGCGTGATGACGCACATGCGCCGGAGCCGTCGGGACGCAGGCGAGATTTAGAGCGTGAGTTTCCGTGTGTCTCGCCCGTCCCTCGTTTTGCTGCTGCGCGCGGCCGCCGCGTTCCCGGGCGGCGGGGCGGGCCGGGCGGCGCGGGGCCGGAGCGGGAGGGCGTCTCTCGGGACCGCTGCCCGGCCGCCCGCCGTCGGCGCCTTCCCCGCGGCGGCCGGCGCTCCCGGAAGGGCGTGCGCGGGGCGCCGGGGCCGGCGGGGAGCCCCGGGGCGAGGCGGCGTCGCGGCGCTTCCAGAGGCCCCGGCGCGCCCCGCCCCGCGTCTCTGAGTCCAGGCCCCCCCCCCCGCGCCCCCGTCCCCGCCCCCCCCGCGCCCCCGTCCCCGCCCCCCCGCGCCCCCGTCCCCGTCCCCCCCGCGCCCCCGTCCCCGTCCCCCCGCGCCCCCGCGCCCGCCCCCCCGCCCCCCCACGCCCCCGACGGGGCTTCTCTTAATGGGGCTCCGGAAATCCGCCGGGAGGTAGCCCCTTTCCAGGGCAGACTTCAGCAGCCGCTCCCCGAACATCACACGCTTGTGTCCCCAAACCCAGGGTAGACTCTGCCGCAGGCCCCGGGCTGCCAGCAGAGGGATTCCTGCGCAGTCATCGCTGAGCCCGTTGCCCCTCTCCCTGTCCTGTAACAGTCTCTGCAGTGCACTCGGTGGCAGCTGGACCTGGCCGCTGCTTCAAAAATTTTTGAAATTATCCCTTAATAGTCTGGTTTCTCACATTTTTATCGCGTTGTTTGCTGGTTCTGACTAAAGTGTCATATTTAAAGTTAAAATCTAATAAGGTTGAGAGTTCATGGCATAGGGACAAGACCAGCTATTATGAAGTCACAAATGGACTGTGAGTGCAGGTGAAACCTTTGCTACCTGCCAAGGGGACTGAAAGGTTGCTTCAACGCAACAGTGCGGAAAAGCGTCAACACCAAGTCACGCAGACACAGCTCCAAGACGAGATGTTATTAAATAACTTTAGAACTGCGTAAAACAAGTACATAGATTGTGCTGGAAGGAGTTTTCTTGGGGTTAGATGTTGTAGGGCACAAATAGTCTGAGCTTTCTGCTGCTTAGGGGCCTGCAGGGTAAATGGATTAATCAGGCTTTTTTTTTTTAAATTAATTTATTTATTTATATAAGCACTGGGTACGGTCAGAAGTGTGGGAGGGTGAGAGAATTCACCAGAGCCAGGGCAGAGAACAGAACAGGCAGACTGACGAAGTACACTGCTGAGGGGAGCAGCGGGTGCGGCGGGAGAGATCTGCACGTGTAGTCAGGCTTTTTAAGACACTGGTCTTTGTGCTTATCACCTGTGGCCTTGATCTTGCAGAAGGTGCCTGGGAGGGTGGGCGCGGAGCGCACGTGCCTGATTGTGGACACCTGGAGTATGGATGTGGCATGCGTAAGTGTGCACACCTGAGCCTATAGGCGGGAATAAAAGCAGCAGCAATAGCAGTAGTGAGCAGACAAGCGGCGTGACTGCAGTAGAGGTGAGACCACAAGATGATGCGAGAACGCCAGAGGCCAGAGAAAGTGCAAAAGATTTGTGGGGGGCTGGGAGGGCCAGTTGCCTCCAGAGCTTCTGGGCCCTCCAGCTGCCTTGCCTGTGTGCTTGCTCAAGGCAGGCAGGGGTGCTGGGGGTGGGAGGGACGCTGGCAGGCTTCCCAGCCCCTGGAGAATTTTCACTCTGAGCTCTCTGGCATTCTCTCGTGGTCTTGTTCTACTGCTGGCATCCCTGTGACGCTGCCCTTAAGAGCCCAGTCTCTCAGCTCAGGTGTATTCACTTACGTATGTCCACACCCCACTCCAGGTGCCCACCATTAGGCATGCATTCAGGGCCCCAGGGATCCATCACCAATCCTAATGGCTGGAGAGCAGAACAGCCTGACAATCATTTACCCTACAGTGGGTAACCCACCACCTTTGAGAAGTTTTATGGAACTGTGACTTGCAAGCAAGTCCTCCCACATGTCAACCAGCTCCATAGAAGCAACGAAGGCCTCACACTTCTTCTCCATGCCTTCATTTTCTGCTTTACCTAGTGCCCTTCTGTGAGGCAACCATTCCAGAGCAGGCAGCTTCATTGTTGATTTGGGCAAATGCAAAGAGAATCTTGGTGCCCTCTATAGATGTGACAGGCCTTTAATACTGAAGCAGTGGACCAGGTCCAGGCAGAGCTGCAAGTGGGGAGAATGGCATGAGGGAGGCAGGCGGTAGCCAAAAGCTTCTCAGCCCCTGGGATCTCCTCACTCTGTCCAGTCTTGTAATGGTCTTCACCAGGCATCCGTACTTCCAGGTACTCACACTCCATTCCCACACTTCTTGGCCTGGGTGTCTACAACCACAAGTGTGCATGCTCTCTCTGTGCCTGTACCCCAACTTTTTTGCTCTATCATGATATCACATGTGGGCAGTGATACCAGGGAGGAAAGCAAAGCCTCAGGTGCTGGCAGCAGGACACTGAAAAAGAACTGAGCTACTCCATTTTCCCTACATCTTCACCTGCTGTTGTCTCAGGTGGATGCTTGGCCGGGTGCACTTACAACTTTCCCCTTCCCTTTTCAGGGGCCCAGTGTGGGGAGAGAAAGGAATATTGAGGATTTGACGTGGCTGCCTGAGGCCTAGACTCATTCCATCAGGTCAGAGCCACCCTGTGGGCCTTGAGAGACCCTTGGCAGCTGCTTGAGCACCGGCTGCTGTAGAGGCCCGGCCACGCCTCTGGATACTGCGGGTGAGTGAGAGTCTTCATAGTGGATAGCAGTGGTTTTGTTAGTGCTAAGTGAACACTGTCCCATCAAGCAACGTTCATTTTTCAAAGGCCTTGCACTTCTCTAGCAGTTTTAGGCCAGGTGGCCTTGCTATGACTCCTGCCTCTGCTGCGTGCTGATGGTGTGCAGCGATTAGTTAACATCCTCGCGGCCTTCGTCTCCCCTGTGAAGTACAGACGTCGCGGTGTGTGGCTGCCTGGGAACACTGAGTTAAACCAAGTGCAAACCGTCCACCTGCGGCAGGCCCGGCAGCTGTCTAAACGCGGCCCTTTGGACACAGGAACGGTCGTTATCTCCTCACATCCAACTTTGATTTCCTCATAATATTTTTATAAATGAGGCACTTTTGTTATTACCTAACCCACTGTTTTTCTTTATAAACGATCACAGATGTTGAACTGAAGCGTCAAATCTTTTGTGTTACTCTGGAGGAAACAAAGCAAATGCTCAGAGGCGGTTAAACCTCCACCCCTGGTAGAAATACACCAGCTTCAGCTTTACCACCACAACGTTGCACTTCATGCGTGGTGTTGGTTGTTTACTGGAAGGTCAAGTCAGGGGGAGACTAATGTTTATCTTCAGTTGGGGGAGGGGGCAGTCAGCTATGGAAGCGGACACCGTCACAGTGCTTGAGACCCGCTGAGGCCGTGTAGTGAAATGAGGGGGTTCTTCCTCGGAAATGGGAGTTTCCAATGTGGATGCTTAATGGTAACACAACGCAAGGTTTTGTATTCCATTTTTAAAAAAGTGATAAAATTCATTTTTGTATCTGTGGTACATGTAAACATATGAGCATTAAAATACTTGAAAGTCATCTTCCTTAGTCATCATTTTGTTTTCTTGACAACAGAACCTAGAGGTGGGGATAAATAATCTCCACATTCTGAAGTTAGATCTATGCTGTTACACTATGTCCTCGCTCGGTGTCCTCTAGAATTTTGGAAACTGTGACCTTAAATGACATACAACAAAACCAGTTTCTCCAAAAATATCCTTTCAGGGTGGGCTTAGTGAGGTTTCTTTTTACTCATTCACATTAACAACATGATGTTGACTGAAACGACCTTAGTCGAGCCTGCTGTATGTGTGAAAAATTCTCTTAAGCTGTTAACAAGATAAAAATGCTTTTAAGAGAGATTCTTTTATGCTGCTAAGCCTTGGCCCTCAGCTCTTCTAGCAGGCAGCTCTCTTTAGCAGAATCTGACCTCTGAAGTTGAAGGGCAAATGCTACTGCTGTGCTCATCTTGAACCCCTTGCTGAGGCACCCCAAGGTATGTCCCTGGAATCTAGGAACTGGGACCTGGTTGTGACACTCTCTCTGGTCTGGGTGTGAAGCTCCAATTCCTTAGGAGAGAAGCTAAACTAAAAAGTCTTGGGTTAGGCATTCTGGTGAGTGGGATTCACAAACTTGTTCTGAAGTCAGCTTCCAGGGTTTTCAACAATGTCAAACATCAGCGTAGTTTCTCATGCGGGGTATGTGGTGAGTAATTATGAAAATAAATCCAGTCTTTAATTTGACCCATATTTTATTAAAGTAGGGAGGCATCTATGCGCATTTTTTGAGAAACCTAAGTTTTTTGATTTTAATCCCTGTGAACTCTGACAGCTGCGTCACTGTTAAAACTAATATTTTATCTGGCCGTTGTTTAGCATTACAAATGATTCAAGGAAAAAGAAACAAGGCATTCGTGGAAATAAATTACAGGTGTTTGCCCTCTGTTTTCTATTGTGTGAAAGCGGCTCGTTTGCATTTATATGGTAAAGGGTTTTTCTTAAAGAGTTAATTTTTAGTTAATAGTGAACTTTCATGAGAAAAATAATTTCACATGCTAAGTATTTGTTAGATGGTTATTAATGGTGGTGCTAGTAATACCACATTGTCTTTTTCACACATCGAAGAGGGTTTCCTGGTGACAGCTGGGGCGCAGGGGAGGGGGCCACTTTCAATCAGCCAGCTGCTCTGCACACCATCAGGGATGGTGATATTTCAAAGCCCATAGATAATTTGGGTTGTATTCAGAAAAGAAAATGTATCACATTTCTGGGAAGCCCGAGCTAGTGTGCACTGGCCCCTGGGATCTCACACTAGCCAGCTCCAGAGTGTGCATTCAGGTCTGCATGTTGCTGTTATTTACCATCTAGTTTCTTGGACATTGTTACATGCACATCATAATTATAAAGCAATAAAGTCGAGTCCATGGGGGGAAACGCTCATTACTTTATGGAGAGGAAGAGAATGGAAAGCAAACTTTGGGGGTGTGCTACGTGCTTTCACATAATGTGCTACTTCATCTATTCTTCACAATGGCTGGAGGAAATAAGTGGAATTTTTTTCATTTGTGGATAAAGAAACAGACGCTCGGCAGGACTGATTATATGGTTTGCCCGAGGCCACCTATGAGGGAGCCACGGCATCCACAGTTGACCCCAGATCTGGCTTCAGCGCCAGGAGTGTTGTCATTATACCAACAGCTGTTTTTCCATGGTGTTAACTTGCTTAATGCATTTTTAATCCAAAGTCACAATATCAGGATAATTAGAAATGAAATTTATATACATATTACAATGACTTGGGCTTGATATAAATAATATATAGGCATGTGTGTATGTATGTTGGCAGCTATTTCTAATTTTGGATTTTTTTTCCTTGAGGAAAGTCTCTTGGGCAGCACTGTGAAAGAAATTTGGCTACATTTTTTTTATGTTACAAATATTAGCAATTTGCCACTGTGTGTGTTGTAATGAATCTGTGGTGATTCAGAGTTGGAACAAATGCGGGAATACATATGTTCAGCTGCAGGTAGTCCCTGCCTTCATACCGGAGTGTTTCCAGAGTTCCTCTTTTCTCAAGCCACCTTAACCTCACGTTAATAAGGGGCCATTTAGTTTTTTAAATTTCCAGCCTGTAGCTGTTACACCCACCAACTGATGACTTAAAGCACAGCCTTTTCGTGAGATGGTTTATAGCTTTTCACTATCTGGTATTTCCTCTTCCTCCGCACTGCCCACAGGATAATTCCTGCCCCAGTATTTTTTGTTGTTGTTGTTCTCTCTCTTCCTACTATACAAGACATCCTACACAAAACTTTAAAACTTTTATTTATTTTTTAAGGATCTGTTTATACATACAAGAGCTAGGGTGCAGGCTAGATAGAGATGGAGGGGTGAGAGGATTCACCAGAGACAGAGTCGGGAGCAGAACAGGCGGATCTACTGAAATACACTGCTGTGGGGAGCAGGGAGCAAGACAGGAGAGGTCTGCTGTGCCATGTGGGTCAGCTCCCTGGCCGGGGATCAAACTCGTGCTGCAGTGGTTACAGATTGCACCACAGTGCTGCGTCTTAACCCCTTGTGCCACCAGGGAGGCCCCTAAAACTGTTTTTTTTAAATTTTTATTTAATGAAGTTTCCATTGTTTTACATCCTTTTTTTTTTTTTAAAGATTTATTTTTTATTTTATTTACTTATTTATTTATACAAGCACTGACTGGGTATAGTCAGAAGCGCGGGAGGGTGAGAGAATTCACCAGAGCCAGAGCGGGGCGGGGAGCAGAGCAGGCAGAAGGACCGAAGTACACTGCTGAGGGGAGCAGCGGGCGGCAGGAGAGGTCTGCGCGCCATGTGGGACCCTCTTCCGGTGGTCGGGAGCAGCCAGGGATCGAACCGGCGGTGCAGAGGCTGCAGGCAGCTTCGCAACCCAGCGCTCAACCGCTGTGCCACCGGGGAGGCCCTGTTAGGTGTATTATTTAAAACACCTGCCCTGTATAGCTAGACGACTGATCTTAGACCTTTATCCTTTTGTGGCAATAGTCTTCATCTCGTGTCAGGGTTTATGTGCTAAGTACGACATTTTGCTGATTCTTTGTGGAAGCTGCCCTCACACGCTCTCCCTGAGCCTGCACACTTCTTCAGGACTAGATTTCTCAGCAGATTTTTGAGAAATGCTTATATACCCTCCATGTTTTGATTTTCCTGTGGGCTAAAGGGTTGTACTCAGTAGACCTTGGTAATACTTGATAGTACTTGTAAACAGGATCTGCTTGCCATCCCTTGGCAAATAATCGAGTGTTCTGGGGAAGGTCCTTTGACTACAAACAACAAAAACAAAGTTAAATTCTCCAGATAACTTTTTCAAGAACAAGAAACTTATTGGAGGTATATGTATGAACTCAAAATTGACAGAAAACCAAACTACCAGGGCAGCTGGTAGGCAAAATCTTTTGAGATTTGGATAGGTTTGGTACATCTGGAACATTCTTTAAGTTAATGCTTTGAGTGTCAGCTTCAAAAGTTGTTGGCCTTTAGTGTCTCTGCACAAGTGTTAGGTTCCAGGGTCACAGTCACCCTTTGATCAGTGTAGGAAAAACCCTCTTGATGCTAGACCCCCCCCCAGGACCACTTCCCTGGGGCTAGGAGGCCGATTCCTGTTCCTGAAAGGAGGAGGTATTGATGCTGGGCAGGCAAAAAACCCTGAGCTGTGACTACCACCTAGTTAGCAGTGGGCATCCTGTGTGCTTTGTGGGGACATAAACAACCTCTCTGAAGTCTGGCTTACCTTTCCCCTCTCAGCTGGTTCTCGTGTCCAGAGATTTTCAGCTATATAAATAATTCACTCATAGTTCTTACACAGATGAAATGGGATGGCTATTGCTTTTTCACTGACTTTAGGTAGACAAAGAAATCTTACGCTGAGCAAATGTGAGAATAGAGTTCCTTGGATCCTCCAAAAGGCAGTGGCCTTGGCTGCCAGGATTTCTGCTCCTGGAACCTCCTGCTTTACGGACCCACGACGTCTGAAGGGCTGTCAGCTGGGGAACTTTAATGAGACCTCATTACCCTAGAACTTGTAGTCTGCGAGAGAAGGAACTGACTGATGACTGATTCTGGAAATAATAAGTGGTGATGGATCAGAATTGGAGGTGGCACTAATTCACCACGCTGCAGAGCAAAAGTCAGGATTATAT